ATTTATATATATATATATATGGTACAGTATATACACACAGTATATACTGTATATACAGTATTAATCAAAAGCCACATAGACTATGCAGTTATTTTGTCTGCACCAAATGCCTTTGCAAACCCAGAAACCAGTCTTGTAAAAGCATTAATTACATAATTACTGTGCTGTCTGTACTGAGAGGAGAGCCATGAGTGGGACCCAGCAGGCTCCACCTACTATAGGTTCTCTAAAGAAAACTACAAGAAAGGGGTGGATACAAGGCCAGTCACATTGCAAACCATGTCACCCTTTTCCCATTTGAAATTGCTTGTCAAATGCTAAATAAATGTATAGTAAGAGATTTCCACATTTTATAGTATCCTTTAGTCATGTGACATAACTGAACTTTGCATTATATAATTTTGTTTATGATTTATCCTGTGTAGAGGAATCTGTTTATGGGGTTCATTTATAAAAGTATAGTCGGGACGCCATTCACATGACACTAGATGGTACTGATGAGTATGAGCCTGCTCCTGACATCTGGGCTTAGCCAGCCGTGATCTTACGGCTGGCTCTGGCCACTTGCAGAGAGATCAGCGTCCCTGGTTACCAGCTAACCAGGGACACTGATCTCCAGACAGCCTAACTCTCCCGTGCGCTCCGGGAGTCTCCCGCTCCCGGCCGCCCAGGAGAGAAACACTGCTTTTTCTATTTTTTTTTTGTTTTATTCTGACACAGAGCCGTTGGCTGGCATCAGAATAAAAAAATAAAAACATTTCACCATAGGAATGCATTGCTAGATTCCTATTGGCTATTTCAATTTGCAATAGCCAATAGCAAACTAGCTATTGCACCCGCCCACTGCTGTAGTTCTCCATCAGGTCCCCACTAGTGATTGACAGCAGCAGGGAGCGGGTGAAAAACTAGTTTGCTATTGGCTATTGCAAATTGAAATAGGAATCTAGCAATGTATTCCTATGGATATTTTTTTTTCTTTTTTTTGACAGCAGCAGAACCGCCGGCCAATAGAAAACAGTTGGGCGGAGCTAGCTGTCACTGCTAGCTCCGCACAATCGTTTTCTATTCATTTCTTTATACTTTTTAAACAATTTTTCTGTTCTGCTCGGTACCACAGAGGGACCGAGCAGAACAGCCGAGCCGAATGCCGCTCGGCGACATTTGGCTATTTACTCACTGCTGTTCGGCATCTATAAGAATAGACAGAACAGCAGCGAGTAGCCTGCCGCAGGTTCGGCTTAGCAGATCCAGATGTTGGATCGGCTAAGTAGAACTCCTTCTGGACTTCGGGTCGGCCGAACATGCAGAAGCCACATGAAGCCACCCGATGTACGGCTGATTTCAGCCGATATATGGCTGGAATCAGCCGTACCAGCCTGAAGTGAATAGCCGAACAGAGTTCTGCTCACTTTGCTTCAGGTCGGTCGTTCACTCGGCTGCCGTAGGCAGCTTAGTGAATAGACCCGTAAGTGTCAAGTGTGCATTCAGCTGGGGAATCACAATTTGCAAATATGTACGAGGCCCAAATCTGCAAAAGTGTATGTAAACCCTAACAATGAACTTCTCTTATTTTCTCCCTTTTGATCTGTCAAACATATCATTGAATGCATTTTGTTATATCTGTTTGACAAGTACAAAAAATACCTGTTAATTTGCCAGAACTCTACCTTCAGTCTCGGACAGTTGTGCAGGCTCCTGTTCTGTAGTAAAATTACTTTGCTCTTACTGCACACTGTGAGCTTCTTGCAATGTGCATTAAATCTGCAGCAAGTCACCTAATTTCCTAGCTGGAGGACATACAGCATTGCTTTCACCCTAAGCAGTTTTATAGAATGTTTATCTCTTATTTAAGGTTATCTATGTAATGAGGAACCCAAAGGATGCTATGAAGTCTTTTTATCATTTTCAAGACATGGCTGTTTTAGCAGAGAAATCACCAGATTTTCAGCACTTTTTTGAAAAATTCTTGGATGGAGAAGGTAACTATATGTCCTTTGTGTTCATGTAATTTCTGATTTAGTTCTGATTTAGAAAAAGAGTAATTTTCACCCAATATGCCTTTGTGTGGTTCCAATAACTCTTTGGGTTCAGAATAAATGTTAATTCTTTTTTTTTCTCCTTTTTTAAAAATATATTTATGTTTTTTTATTTCTCTTTTCTTCAATTGCAATTATTGTATGTGGTAGAAAATCTGCAATAGCAAAATGGAACATGAAATGTAACTAATATATGTATGTTTATAAAATGAAAAAAATAGATATTTAACAAAATGTTTATTCTTTTAAATCTCCTGATACCAATTGGATATTTACAGCAGAGAGAGGTTTCTTTGCACTGTTGTTAGTGTAGTCCCCATTACCTTTTGTGGGGTGGCTACTAGAAATGTAGTGATTGCCAGAGCTGTAGCTGAATTATAGTTGGTATATATCTGGAAAAAACAAAACACAAAGAGCGCCTCCATCGCGTAAAACGTTTTAATACAGTGGATTTAAAGAAATAAAAACATACTCACAAAGGTAGAGTTTTAAAGGCATGAAATAGTAAAAACGTGAAAGGCTTAGCCCACCGTCTACTCTTCCTCCCTGAGGTTAACGTTTCCGAGGTCACGCCTCCTTCGTCAGAACCAATTTCTTTAAATCCACTGTATTAAAACGTTTTTACGCGATGGAGGCGCTCTTTGTGTTTTGTTTCTTCCAGAGTTGAGGCTTCCCTAGAGCCTGTTCGGGAGCCTGCCCCATCTGCGGTTCACATTGAGATCACTGCAGATATTCTCCTTGTTTGGATACAAGCCGCTGGCGCTTTTGTTATACACTGTTT